GTGGAATCATTCTTCAATGGATTCGAGGACATAGGGTATTATAGTTATATTCTACCAAAAACATGTGAGGCAGCGTGGTGGAATCAGGCTCTCGTCAAAATAATCAAAGTGAAGAAATCTGCATTTTTCCGCAGGTTTGTGAATTTTTATGAAATTTTTGTTTTTTTGGCTCAACACCTTTCATGCCTATTAAAGAACTCATTTCTGTGTGGATTTTTCATAAAAACATTGATAAAAGGCACAAAACATGTAAATTTTCAGTTACCACGGACTCTTAAGCTAAGGAAATAACTAATCTATGGGGGCCATTTTCTCACTAATTATACCTCTGAAAACAGGTGACCCCCACATCCTTCATTCGTAAATATCTCGAGACTTGTATTCAAGATAAATGGATACTTTTTTCATCCAAATAAAGACAGCTGAACAAGCTTTAAGATGATACCAATAACTCTACATGCCCAAAAATTAACGTGAGCCTGATTCCACCACGCTGCCTCACAGTATTATAGTTATATTCTACCGAAGACATTTCTAATGCATAATGTTACAGCCACAACAGATCAAAGTTCATTTTACTATCAATGACTTGTCGGTTATTTTTCTCTGAGTTTCGGGGTTTAGTGGATATCTCAATATCTCTTATTTTGCTATTCAAAAAAATATATGAATAAGAAGAGCTGATTCTTATTAGTCTTTTGAACCCTTTGGTCATTTTTTCTTTCAATTTCTTACCCCCCAAAAAACTCAACCCGGAACAATGTGTACGGAATTCTAGTTAATAGATCACCCTAAAGGCCATATTTGTCAAGAAATCAAAATATCAGACAAAGAATAGGATTTCAGACTACAGATCTGACTCAAACGATTATGATTATCAAACGTTGAACAAATAATAAGTAAAAATGAAAGTAAAACTAAATCTTCTACTACGCTGGTGTCCATGTATCTGAGCGTGTTGCGTACGTGAGCTCTCACCTTTGACGGCGTAGAAGTTTGCGCCCATGTAGAGCACGTAGCCCACCATGGACAGCGGGATGGTCCACTTACAGCCCAGGCGAGAGATGACGAAGTCCGGCAGGAACATGCAGGACACGATCAGGGCCACGTAGACGGTGGACAGACTCCAGGCTCCCACACCTGGGGAGGAATAAGTACTCGGGATTACCTCTGATCACATTGACGTATCACTTTTTAGTTTTAGTAGAGGTTTTATCGCCCTCGCCACTGCATAAGGTCACATGAGCGCCAGAAGATTAGAGGTGTTACAAGGGAGTAACAAACATAAAAGAAGAAGGGGAGATAAGGACAATAGATGTTTGATAGGAAAGAAGGAGCAAACCACACCGGGACGCCCGCCAAACACCCACTGACGTATCACTAATACTGTACTAGGCGAAGGACACGTTTGTCTCTAACGATGAGTTCAAAGGTTGTGTTGGCGGCTTGTTTCACTAACATGAGTTGAGATGGAAGAGTGTTCGAAGATGTACTGTTTCTTGGGCCCGCCTACCTGTCTGTATTCTGTGATAAACACTTCTTTTACTATAT